CTAGTGATGGTAAAGGGAAAGATCTCACCACCTTTAGGGAGCAGGAAGATGGGACCAGCTCTCAATCTTGAGAGAAAATGTGTTAGTCCCCAGAGGGAGTGACCTAAGTCACATGGTTAGTTTGAATTTAAATGAGGGGGGGAAGCAGTTTGCAAGTAGGAATCCCTGTTTATCTAAAGGGGGGGAGAGAATCCAAAGATCTTCCAACAAACACACAGACCACACAAAGCTATATCCCAACCTTCTGTCCAGGAGGAATTCCAAAATGCCCTCCATTTTGAGCATGACTGAAATGCATGAATTTATAGTAATATGTTTTATTTTATTAATGTTTTTGGCTCTTAGCAGGTTATGTTCTCCATTTTTCTTGAATGTCCTACATTTTGTCTTACATTTTTCCTACATTTTGTCAAAGTTTTGTGGAAGAGAATTATGGCAACCCTAATCTCAGTGAAATTTACCTTCCAAGAAAATGTGCTTAGCACTGAAGCCTTTTTGGGAAGGAACTCCAAGGGGAATAATTCTCAAATAAAAGTACTAATTTAAATTCTAAGGATTAAATTCTATTCCATCTAGACCAATTGGATGATTATCTGGGCAGTAAGCTCCCTCATTGCACTATTTTTGGTGGATGTAAGAAGGTCTGATCCTTCCACAAAACTGAATTTATTCAAATTTAATTTAATATATTTAGAACCACCTCTGAATGGACTTGTTAGTTTGGGCCGATAATAATAAATGAATCCCATAGATTTCCTTCAGTCTCCTTTGGTTTGACCAACTTCTAGTTTGAGAAGTGAGGTCCCTATGCAGTCCTTTACCTTCTTACCTGGGAGTAAACTGCTGGGAACTCAAAATGGAGCTTCCTTATGAATAGAAATATGTCTTCCAAGGTTGACTATTTGCAAATTTCCATGCCAGTGGGAGAGAGGATCCACTCTAAAGATACAGCCAAGGTGCTGGCACTGTTTGGAGGATAAGATTCACTGCCTTAGATGTCTCCTTTCATATTTAGCCTAAAACCCAGAGTAGATTCACCATCTCATTGACATGGAAGCCAAGTTGGAGACCAATCCACATCTCTGTGAAGGAAATCTATTAAGAATGAAGCATATTTAGCCAACGATTCTGCCCAGCCTAATCTATAAATTGGGGGGGGGGGTTAATCTAAAAGAGGCTTGCTTCCCAAATTCTTTTTTCCTTCAAAGATCCAAAGTAGTTGGAAGTGTGATGCCCAAATTTTGCTTCCAACCTATTGCCAGGAAGTGTGCTTTTAAAAACAATCCAAAAAGCTAGAAGAGACTCTTGACACAAGTAGATGAGGCTGAAGACGAAAGAAAATACTGCCAAGGCAAATGTGTGAAGGTTTCCATGGTCAGGATAGACACACATTCCCTGACTTGACCCATACACATGCCTAGGCCCCTGGCACACTACATAACTATCCCGTTATCATTCCATTTCAACTGCCATGGCAACATCCTGTGAAATCCTGGGTTTTCAGTTCAAGGAGGTACATTTAGAGTTCCCCAGCGGGACAGCTTCACACCAAACTGCAAATTTCAGGACTCCTTGATGGAGCCATGGAAACCGAAGCAGAATCACAATGCTGTAATTGTGTAGAGTTAGAGGGAGTGATCTTTGTAAAATGTGAAGAACTTCCATAAATATAGGACCAGAAGGCCTCCAGGACTGTGTTGTCTGGAGGCAGCTTGATATGCTTACATGGGACCCTATCAGACTGCTCTTCCAATTATCATCATCATCATCATCATCTAAAAAATGCATTGGTTCCTTTTATCATCAGTGATGGGGTGTAAAAAGGCAAAAAAAAAAATTGGCAAAAAATAGGGAAATTAGTAGATAAGATTTTTGAGTCTGAAAGTGAACTTAGGCCAGAACTGTTTCTTTTTAATATGGTAGATACTGATAAGAAGATAAATAGCATAGTGTACTATTTTGCTATATGATTACTGCAGCAAGGATACTGTATGCTAAATACCGGAGACAGAAGTGTATCCCAAGTATTGAGGAGTGGATAGGAAAACTGTGGGCTCTGGCCTCATCCGGTAAGTTAACCAACCTATTAAAAGGTCATTCAACACAAAGATATTTGCTAACATGTCGACCTTTTGTGAATTATGGTCAAAAAAGAACTGGAGAAAATGTGGTTACAGATTTTGATGGTGAGATAGGAAGGCTTTTTTAAACAGGACATTATTATTAATTAGGTTGTAGGGAAATGTAGAAATGTTGGTTTGTTAAAGATGGATTGGTTATAGAGGCATAACTGGGGGTTGTGGTTGAAGATCATGATTCTTGTAGGACGGAAAAACTATGGGGTTGAGGGAAGTGGTTTTATGTATGCATAGAGGGCTTGTATTCATGTCTATCTTGTTTTAGTATGTAAATATGTCTGTTTGTTTTTTATTGTAAATTGATTTGTTAATAAAGATTATTATTATTATTATTATTATTATTATTATTATTATTATTATTATTATTATTATTTTTCAGGGTTGCGAATCTCCTTCCTGGCTGGAGAGAAAGGTGGTCTTCTCTCCACCCCAGACCCAATGTAATAATCAGTGTTGCTTTTCCTGCTTTGGTCCATAAGGAAGGAGAGCCTTCCTTCTGAAGGAAGACCATTCCACCCCATACACACACACACACACACACACACACACACACACACGAGGATGGGATCCAAAACAAGGAATCCAAAGTGACCAAGCCAGAAGAGCCAAGTCCCTAGGAGCCAGTGTGGCCTTTTCTTCTGAGTAAATACGTTCAGTATTTTATGCAGCAGGGTCCTTTGGGGGTTTGGGCAAGCAAGCAACCCTTTGGGGTTGGAGAGGGAGCTGTCTTGCTCTGTCAACTCTTTCAGGTCCTCAGCCACCAACATTGAGGTTTGGTGGCAACCGCAGCAACAACTTGTTGTTGTGGTTATGGTTGTGAACCTTCAAGTCGCTTCCAATTTATGGCGACCCTAAGGCGAACCCTGTCCTGGGGTTTTCCTGTCAAGTTTCTTCAGAAGAGGTTTGCCATTGCCGTCCTCTGAGGCTGAGAGAGTGTGACTTGCCCAAGGTCACCCAGGGGGGTTCCATGGCTGAGCCGGAATTCGAACCCTGGTCTCCCAGTCTCCTAGTCCAACACTCAAACCACTACTCTCTAGCCACGTATTTTTTAAAAAGCAATAAAGGGCTCTTCTTCTATGTGGCTGGTAAAATGTAAGGAGAATGGCACTTTCATATGAGGCCGAAGTTAGTTCCTTATTCCCATTTCCCAGCTCCTTCTTTGAGACCCTGTTCCCATATTTCTTTCCTCCTCCTTTGTAGGTAAGACTGGATCCTTTGGATCGCTGCTATCAGTAGAGTTAGCGGTTCCCCCCTGGAAAATAAAATAAAATAAAATAAAGTAAAATAAAATAATCTGTTTAACATCATTAAAAGAAAGTCATTTAAAATGATTTTCTCTGTCAAGCTTCGCTCTGTACAATTGTAGCTATATGATTCCACTTGAAAAGCCATGGCTCCTTCCTATGGAATCTTGGGATGTGAAGTTTGGGGGGGCAGTTCTCAGCGAGAGAGCTCTAGTGCTTCGCCAAATGGCAACCTCCAAGCTCCCATGGGATGGAACCGCGCTATAGCGCTATAGTTGTGTAGTGTGGAAGCACTCATAGAAGCGCATGACAACACTCCTGTCACCGAAGGGGCCCCCTCAGGAAAGTCTGCTATTTCACCTTATATAGCCCTACCCGTTTGATTTGGTGTGAGTTATGGTGGTTCACTGAGAGGCAGCGTGGTCTAGTGGTTTGAATGTTGGACTACTAAGACTCTGCAGACCAGGGTTCAAATCCCAGCTCGGCTGTGGAAACCCACTGGGTGACCTCTCAGCCTCAAAGAATGGCAATGGCAAACCCTCTCCTGAAGAAACTTGCCAAGAAATCCCCATGAAGGATTGGCCTTAGGGTCGCCATAAGTCGGGAAAGACTTGAAGACACACAACAATGGTGTTCCCCAGCTCACTTTATCAGATGCAAGAAAGCTTATGCCCACCAGAAGAACACACACACACACACATAAAAAGATCCGGCTGATCTTGAAAGTGGCCCCAAACTCCGTGAGTTTTGCTGTGACAGACAAAGGGCCTTTACAGACTGCCAGAAATAATGCAGCTTGAGGCCACTTTAACTGCCCTGACTTAATGCTAGGAATTCATGGGAACTATAGTTTATTGTGGCACCAGAGCTCTCTGACAGAGAAGGCTCAATGTCCCAGAAAAAAAAAATACAATTCCCATAATTCCCTAGCACTGAGCCAGGACAGTTAAAGTGGCCTCAAGCTGCATTATTTCTGGCAGTCTGCAAATCCCAAAAGAGGACCACCTCAAATATTCAGGGGGGCTTCCATGTCGGTGCGAGGGTTAATCTGCTGGATTTTAGTCCCAATTTTAAAGGTGCTGAATCTACTTGGGAATCAGGACTAAATAATAATAATAATAAAATTTATTTCTATTCCGCCTTTTCCCAATGGGAATCAAGTCGGATTACAACAGGTATATATATCAGAGTGATTTCTCCACCTTGCTGACAGGGAAGCAACCAGACCCCAGGATTTTTTAACTTGATGTTATATGCCTTCCAGTCGTTTCCGACCCTAAGGAGACCCTATCTTGGGGTTTTCTTGGCAAGATTTGTTCAGAGGGGGGTTGCCATTGCCTTCCTCAAAGGCTGAGAGAGTATGACTTTCCCAAGGCCACCCAAGGGAGAATTAGATCCCAGGCCTCCAGGGTCCTAGTCCAACGCTGCTCAAAACACTAGACACCGCGGGCTCAGTTTTTAACTATGGGCCTTTGCAGACTGCCAGAAATAGTGCACATTAAATCGAGGCACTGCCCTGGCTCAGTACTAGGGAATCATGGGAACTGTAATTTATTGTGGCACCAGAGCTCTCTGACAGAGAAGGCTCAATGTCCCAGAAAAAAAATACAATTCCCATGATTCCCTAGCACTGATCCAGGGCAGTTAAAATGGACTCAATTTGCACTATTTCTAGCAGTCTGCAAAGGCTATCCCTATGGAGATCCCAGTCACTCACATTGGATACTGTGGGACTTTAGAAGTCGTTTCCAAACTCTGGCCATCCTAATCGCCCCTGTCACCAGATTTTCTTAGCAAGATTGGTTCAGAAGGGGGTTGCCATTGGTCTCCTCTGAGGCTGAGAGAGTGTGACTTGTATCTACCTGCTGTATTTACGTGTAAATACAATCCTGTTCCAAATCCTCGTACTAGGCTGCCAGATCAAGGCACATATCTCACTCTCGGATCAAACGCTTTATCCAGATAACCCAAAGGATTTCCCCCCCCCCCTTTTAGCCCAAAGTTGTTCTTGTTTTATCCTTGTTTCGTTCTTTGGACAAAATTGAGGGGCTTTGAAATTGTGAGTCAGAGAAGGCAACTTCTTGTGGGAACGATCCGCTCCTGCGATGATTCCTTTTCACAGGAAACAAGAAGGAAAGAGGGCTTAGATCCAGCTTTTTGGACTGGAAGCTCTGCTCACCAGAATCCTGTCATCCCAAGGCCTGAAAGGAAGTGGATTCCAGATCAGTTCTACTCAAACTGAAGCTATGGGTTGCCATTGGCTGCTTCTGCCTGCCCCTCAACGAGTTTCCAGGAAAGAAAGAAACGATTGAAGTCAATGAGGACAAGCATGGTGCCGATCCCAAGGAGCAATGTGGGTGGGGGTCCCTGCCAGCCCTTCCTCTATCAGATCAGATAGCTTAAGAAGCTCTGCTCTGGACCACTGAGACTCTATCACAGGGGCAGGCAACCTTTCCCCTTTAAGGGCTGAGGGACTTCAGCTCCCAGAAGCCTCAGCCATGTTGGCCAATAGTCCCATGCTGGCCAATAGCTCCTGGCATTCTGGGAGCTGAAGTCCCTCGGCCCTTAAAGGGGAAAGGCTGCCTACCCCTGCGTGGTCCCTGGCTTGGTGCCAGTCTCCAAGGCATTGGTTGCCCATCCTTGGTGAGATGACAGCCAACATGATGTAGTGGTTCAGCATTGGACTACGACTCTGAAAACCAGTCTTCCTTCAACCATGGAGATCCACGGGGTGACCTTGGGTGAGTCACACTCTCTCAGCCCCAGAAAACCCCTGATGGGGGACGCCTTAGGGCCGCCATAAACTAGAAAAGACTTGGAGGCACACAACAACAACCTCGATGAGTTTCCAGGAAAGAAAGGGCCAAAACATAGTGCAGAAATAATCCACTTTGAGGCGCTTTAACTGCCCTGGCTCAGTGTTAGGGAATTCTGGGAATTGTAGTTTGTTGTGGCACCAGAGCTCTCTGGCAGAGAAGGCTTAATGTCTCACAATACTACAGTTCCCAGAATTCCCTAGCATAGAGCCAGGGCAGTTAAAGTCCTCTCAAACTGGGTTATTTCTGCAGTGTGTTTTGGCCCAAAGAAACAGTTGTCGTCAATGGAGGCAAATATGGGAAAAATTGCCTCCCACATCAGACAGCTGAAGAAGCACTGCTCTCTAGACCAGGTTACGCTATAACTGATCCTGAATTTATTTTCACATTTCAAGTTTGAGGAGAGACCATCCTGGGAGACTGCCAGAAATAGTGCAAATTGAGTCCACTTTTAGGGTTAGGGTTAAGGTTAGGGAATCATGGGAACTGTAGTTTATGGTTGCACCAGAGCTCTCTGACAGAGAAGGCTCAATGTCTCAGAAAAAAAACAATTCCCATGATTCCCTAGCACTAACCCTAACCCTAAAAGTGAACTGAATTTGCACTATTTCTGGCAGTCTGCAACCCCCCTGAGACTGCTTGAACGTGGAGGAAGAAAAGGGGAAATTGAGTCCACTTTAAGGGTTAGGGTTAGTGCTAGGGAATCATGGGAATTTTTTTTCTGATACATTGAGCCTTCTCTGTCAGAGAGCTCTGGTGCCACAATAAAATACAGTTTCCATGATTCCCTAAACCTAAACCTAACCCTTAAAGTGGAGTGAATTTGCACTATTTCTAGCACTCTGCAAAGGCCCAAAGTTCTTTGGACTAATAATAGGAGCAGAAATAGTAGTAACAATACAAGATGTTTGGGGGTATGGGGGCATTCAGCCGCCTCTCTTGATGATTTCGCTCTGTTTCTAATTTTCAGGCAGATAAAGAATTGGGAATAAAAGGCCCGCTGCAGCCACTATTGAACATACGAGAGGATGTCGTTGCTGTGTGGCTTCAATTGGTTTCTGACTTATGGCGACCCTAAGGAGAACCTATCTCAGGGTTTTCTTGGCAAGATTTGTTCAGAGGAGGTTTGCCTTGGCCTCCTTCTGAGGCTGAGAGAGTGCCACTTGCCCAAGAGGAAAGAACTGTCAAAACCACCTCTGAGTATTCCCTGCCTAAGAAAAAACCCTATGGCATTTTATAGGGTCGCCATAGCCATAAGTCAACAGGCGACTTGACACCACATGCACACGCATAAGACTGCAGGGATTAAGCAACCTTTTCCTTCTAAGGGCCAAGGGATTTCAGCTCCCAGAAGCCTCAGCCATGTTGGCCAATAGCTCCTGGGATTCTGGGAGCTGAAGTCCCTCGGCCCTTAAAGGGGAAAGGTTGCCTACCCCTGCATAAGAAAATCATCTTTGCCTGAAATCCTGCACATTTAAAGTGCAGTCCTAAAGTACAATGTCGTTGTTGTTTCATTGTTGTTGTTGTAAGTCTTCAAGATTCATGGAGACCCTAAGGCCACCCTGTCAGGGGGTTTTTGGGGCTGAGAGTGTGTGACTCGCCAAAAGTCACCCCGTCGGTTTCCGATGCTCAGACCATACTGGCTCTCAAATATAAATATAAATGTCTACTCAAATGTAAATCCCCTTGAGTTCAATAAGGATCTCTTCCATGTAAATTATGCATGGAATTATACATAGTTAAATCCTTATTTATTTATTTATGTACTTATTTTTTTATATGCCGCCTTTCTCCCAGGTCGGGACCCAAGGCGGCTTCCATAACAACAAATGTTCCATAGGCCCCAGTCAGAACTTGAAATTGCAGGGGTTTACCGGTTTGTATTTTTATTCTTAATTTGTCATTGTTTTAATTGTAAAGTGTTTTAATGAGATGTGATTTAATAACTTTTTAAGGGGGGGAGGAGGGAATTATACTGTTTTAAGCTGTATGTATTTTACTGTTGTACACCGCCCGGATTGGCTTCCCATAGGGCGGTATATAAATAAAATTATTATTATTATTATTATTATTATTATTATTATTATTATTATTATTATTATTATTATAAAAATGTTTACAGGAAAAAAAGATCACTTAGATTCTGTGTAATCTCGTTGCGGATCGACCTTGTGTACCAAATACATTGGAAAATCAGAGGTAAATTCTGTTGGTTTCCACTGCTCTTGTCGTTTTTTAATCGCTACAAATAAATCCCAGGCGATTGAGTGAAATTCAATGAGAAATAACGACGTGCAAATCGATTAGAAGCGAATGCTTATATCTAACAGGGTTTATTTTAATGTGCTGGACAAAAACCCAAAGTGCACTTTCAGCAATAAAACCCATCCGAAGTGAATTCGACAAACAGTAGTTTGTCAGGAACTTTATTTTTTTAAAAAAAAATTATCATGACAAACAGAAACGAAGACCAAAATACTGTGTTCGTTGTACATCATTCGTTATAAAACAAACATACACCACGTAAGTCACCTACCAAATCCCAAAAAATGATCTTCTTGAAAATGATATCATAGAGCGTGCTTTTATGGATTCATGCTTTTCGGTATTTATTTTACAAACGTTACTCAAATAGTATCCGGTCATAAATAAGTTCCAAATAGGGTGTCTGT